AAGAGAAAGAGAAAGAGAAAGAAAAAGAAAAAGAAAAAGAAAAAGAGAAAGAGAAAGAAAGAGAGAGAGACGCCATTTCTTTCTTTCTCTCTCTCTTCTTTTCTTTAAAGAAATCAATGAATTGTCTTAAGAACAGGACTTAAGAGGCATTAGTGAAGTAGTTAAATGAGGCAATTAGTCGAACCAGACCTTAAAGAGGGTCTAAGAAAGAGGGGAATAGCATAGGGCGGAGAGCCTTGGAGAAGAAGGAAGAGGAAGAGGAGGAGAGGAAAAAGAAGAGGTGGAACACACAGAGGAGGAGTAGGAAGAAAGAAAAGAAGGTAATGAAGTAGTAGAATAAGAACTAGAAGGAAACGGAGGAGGAGAAGGAGGAGAAGGGAAAGAAGAAGAAGAAGAAGAAGAAAAAGAATAAGAAGAAGAAGAGGGAGGAGGAGGAGGAGATGGAGGAGAAGAAGAAGGAGAAGGAGAAGAAGGATCTGAAGGAAGAGAAGAACGAGAAAAACAAACAAAGGAGGAGGAGGGGGAGGAGGAAGAGGAAGAAGAAGAAGAAAACTGACGAAAGATACAAAAGAAAATCCAAGAAGAGAATGCCAAATAAAATAAAAATAAAACGAACACGAAGAGAGAACAAAATCACAAGACGAATTACGAAAGAAAAAAATAAAGATCCTTGGAAAGTATTTAAGGAAAAAAAACCGAGAACATTCCTTACATTAACGACCTAACGACCATTGATTAGCCTGCCTCGGAAAAAAGGCCCGAAAAATCCCTAAAAAAGAATTCTATTGGTAAAAAGGAGAAGAGGAAGAAAGGAGAAGAAGAAGAAAGGGGAAGAGCAGGTTGAGGAGGAGAAGAGGGAGGAGGAAGAGGAAGAAGAAGAAGAGGAGGAGGAGGGGGAGGAGGAAGAGGAAGAAGAAGAAGAAGAAGAAGAAGAAGAAGAAGAGGAGGGGGAGAAGGAAGAGGAAGAAGAAGAAGAGGAGGAGGAGGGGGAGGAGGAGGAGGAGGAGGGGGAGGAGGAGGAGGAGGAGGGGGAGGAGGAAGAAGAGGAGGGGGAGAAGGAAGAGGAAGAAGAAGAAGAGGAGGAGGAGGAGGAGGGGGAGGAGGAGGAGGGGGAGAAGGAAGAAGAGGAGTAGGAAGAGGAAGAGCAGAAGGAGGAGGAGGAAGAAGAAGAGGAGGAAGAGGAAGAAGAAGACGAAGAGAAGGAGGAGGAGAGAGAGAGACGAAGTCTCCCGTTCCTCGCGAAGACGAAGAAGGAAGACAGAACGACAAGAGAAAGAAAGAGAAACCCGACCCTCTCGGGAGAAAGAGAGAACAGACGAAAACACAAGAACAAAAAAGAAGAAAAAAAGGGCAGCCATCACCAGAAAGCCACAGAAGGAGAAGAAATCCCCCCCCAAGATCCCTTACCTTATAGTCCGGGTACTCCTGGAGGTGCAGGAGCCGCAGCCGCTCGGCCTCCTCGATGTAGGGCTGCCGCTCCTCCGACGACAGGGTCTTCCACCGCTTCCCGAGCCGCTTGGAGATCTCTGCGTTGTGCATGTCCGGATGCCGCTGCACGATCTTGCGCCGTTCCAGCTGCGACCAGACCATGAAGGCGTTCATTGGCCGCTTGATGTGGTTGACGGGGTGCTTCTTCGTCTGCCGGGAGGGAGAGGAGGGCCGGGTGAGCGAGGGTGGGCGGCGGAATGGGGGGTGAGTGGGGGAAGTGGAGGAATGAGTGGAGAGAGGGGTGTTTTTTTCCCTCTCTCTCTCTATCTGTCTCTATCTCTATCTCTATCTCTATCTCTCTATCTCTGTCTCTCTCTCTGTCTCTCTCTCTCTCTGTCTCTCTCTCTATCTCTATCTC